AAATTGCTTAACATTACCTGGGCGGGCCGCCACACATGGAGTATACACACATAGAGTCAGAGTGAGGGGCTGCACACGGGGGTGCTCAAGGGCACCTCTGAAGTAACCAGGCTTTGGTCAGTTACTGAAGACCCTCTGGTTCCCATACTGAGTCCATACAGACTGACCTACCCCTCTCCCCCCCCAGATGTTTTCAAATGACTCAGTCTAAACATCACTGTGCATGTGTTTGACATCTCCGACTGGCTTTGCACCAAGTCTCGCCAAACCGTTACATGGCAGTAATGTTGCTGTTGCCACAAATGCAACACAGCCCATGCAAAGGGTGTGTCAGCTGAATCTCAACCTGCTGTTTTAGCAGAGCTGCTGAGGCACCAGGATGCCCCCGGGTTCTCTAACTCTTGTATAATAAATGGCTCAGGACAGAAGAGAACAATGAGCATCTGGGTGCAGTGAGCCAGTTCATCAGAAGGTTTCATTAGCATAATGATAACACTTACAGCTCATTTAGGGCTGTTAAGCCTGGACTCTCCTGAAGAGCACCGCCTCAACCCAGTGTTTTTCTATTATTCTTGTCTTAATAATATGGTAAAATATGCTGACTCGTCTTTAACATTAATGAAGCTCTTAAGGTGTCTCATTTTGTTTTATGTATGTAAGTTTAAACGAGCATGTCTGATATTTTAACAGCAGTAGTTGGGATTAATATGTAAACACATTAGCATACCCATAGCCACAAAAGCCTTTACTTCTTTTTGGGAAAATGTACACTGTTCACTGTAGAACTGTTGAATAACTGAACTGAAGGATGTTAAGTTCAAGACAGCTTTTTCTTCAGACTTATGACTTATGCAAGTTATGAGACATTTGTAGTTACAGAAAGGGAGAAGTGATCGAAGTAGTTATCTTTATCTTCCAAACTGGATGTAAACCATAAATGCAGATGTTTCGATAAAACTCTCCATCTTTGAGGCGCTGGTGGCGCAGTGGTTAATGCGCCCATGTATGGAGGCTGCAGTCCCCCAAGCAGGCAGCCACGGTTCGAATCCGACCTTTGGCTCCTTCCCCGCTCTGTCTCTCCCTGATTTCCGACTCTATCCACTGTCTTATCTCAACAATAAAAGCCCAAAAAGCCAATCAATGAAGCTTAAAAAAAAACTCTCTACAGCTGAATTCTACGGCCTTCATTTGGCTCCTCAAGTGGATTATGTAAATCAGCTCTTAACGGATGCTGTCTCATTAAAACCCTGTCACTCTTTGCTCCACAACACTTGAGGCTTGTGAGCATTGGCAACAGCATTCTCTGTGAAGTGAACGATACACTCCATCACTGCCCTTTGGTAGTACATAAAATACGCTGGACACGTTGAAGTGGTTGTGAAGTGGTAACAGAGTGGAGCATGAGATAGGACTCTGAGTTAGCTGGAGTATGCAGTGAAGATGCTGAACCTTGTAAACCTTAACACTGTTGTTCGTTCGGTTTTTAGGTGTAACAGATGCACGAAGCACACGTAGAGGTGGGTACTGTTGATCCAAAATGTCCCTTTCTTAACCGTTAATCCATTAACAAAGACGTAAACTTTGGTTTCATTTAATCAGTTGATTCCATTATTAATTAAGTGAAATTGCAATTAATGTTAATCTGTATTGTCAAAAAACAATGTCAGTAGATTTGAGTTCTTCAAGAGGCCATGATGACTTAGAACACTCAAAAAGACAGATTTGTGAGTATTTAAAATCTACAAATAAAGAGACTTTTTGGATATATTGAGTGTTTTCTCATTATCCCTGTTTTTACACAATGGTTGAGTTTAAGTAATCCTTAATGCTGACATTGCTTGACAATGATTCTTGTGATTCAGACCATGTAAACCATTTCAAGATCCAACCAACACAGCAGCCACAATCTACGCATCTGTCAGACCACCAAAAAACTAGAGGTGGGCAGTAAACCCGTACCGTCACTGGTATTACATTCTGCTTAGACATGGATTTTAGCAACACCGTCATCCCCTGTTAAAAATACACACGTTTCTTTGTAGCGTGCACGCAAGGCAACACTGATTGTTCAACCTACCGGCAACAGTGGCGGTTAAATAAAAGTAGCATGATGCATCTCCATGACAACGGGTCTACCTGCTGAACGGGTTGAAACTAATAGGTCGCTTGTCTTAAGTCCAAGATGATAAAAAGAAGGAGACTGTGGCTTTGGCCACTACGACAATTAACGAGTCTTTATGTTTTATTTTTCTTACCGTCTGAAGGTCTACTAATCCTTTTCTGGTTTTAAAATTCCAAATAAACTTGACCATAAACTGAATTAAAGTAACAAAAATGACGTTTTATAATGATTTTTCAAATTAACGTCCATGTTAAAATATTTTAAAAGGTTAAATAACGTTAATTAGTGATCAATGGATTAGCTGACATGTGTCCAGCATTGCAAACACAGCACAACTCACAAGCACAGTTTTTTTTTATTTGCAGCTAACCGACCATCAAAAACTTGGTTAAATCTGGGTCTTCTCATTGCATGAGATTAGGTTGACTATTTGATGCAGCCTTACTAGAAACACAATTACACAGATAACAAACCATATTCCATGACAGAAAAAAAAACAAGTATGTCAACCAATTAAAATACAGTGCTGCGCTGTGACGTCCATCAGAACAAAACATTAAGCTCATGTCCCAAAGCCATTTACCACAGCAGACTCTTCAATTCAATGTTCCAGACTTAACATAATGTGAAAAATATCTGCTTGATTCTTAAAACAGCTGAAAATCCCCCTTTAAAGCATGAAATATTATAAAACAAAATGTGACCTGAAAGGGGATTAATACAGATTTTCTTTTTTCCACCAACCCTGTTTTATATTTCTCCCTTATTTCATTTTTCATCTTTTGTTCATTCTCTCAACTCCTAATGCTCCCTCCATATTTCCAAGGTTGGTTCAACCAAATCCAATACGTCCTGTTTTCAAACCTCATACATTCATCTGCATCTTTCTCTATCCCTTTTTCCATATTTCCAATTTTTAACCCATCTCAATCCTCTTCCTCCTTTTTTCTCTTTTTCAAATCTGCTTATCCTAATTCCCCACAACCCCCCTAGAGAGAAGAAGCAAAGAGCGGGGTATAGTATACTGCACATGTGAAGCTCATACAATAGAGCTGCCTTCACTACAGAAAAACAATTTATCTCCAAAGGGTCTTACTTCATCAGGAGTCATGTATTTTTGAGCTTTATCAAGTGAATAGAAAGGGTTTCCACACAACTGGCGCTACAGAGATCTGTTTCCGACCTTGGTATGAAAGCAACCAGATGTTTAAATACAACACACTGCCTGTGGCTCGATGACACTTCCATGCGCCTGTTTAGACTTCAGGGGAAGGGAAATTAAGATTACTGCCCCTTTAATACTCTGGTGGCCAGGCTGGCAGACTATTCCACTCTCGGCTTTGTGACAAGCAGTGAAAACAACTGCTGCATGCAAGCAAGGAGGGAAGAAAAAGATAAAGAAAGGGGCAAATAAAGGAAAGAGGGAAAATGTGGAAGAGAAAGAAAGTGGAGGCAAAAGGGTCATTAAAGAAAGCACCATCGTACTGGACGAAGCTTCCCAGTCAGTGACCCCATTTTGGCTAAAAAGTGGTCATCATTCAATGTGACCGTGACCTGCTTTCAGCCATCTTGGCTCTGCCCATATACCAAGAATCTAATGAGCATTCAGAGCAACAGGAGACATAAGAAAGAGCTCAACATAGAGGGCATCATAGACAAATAGGAAAAAAAAAAAGATGTAAAGCATGGAGCAGGCGCTGGACAAAGGCAGAGTCGCCATCAGCAATAATGAGCTTTGTTATCCTGACCCTGCATCCAAATGTCATCTGAAGAGTCAGCTACTATACAAGCTGTAAGCTTATTGTGCTGCAACACACATTTGCATGCACATCAACATACACTCTTGTACTCGTAGCACTTGTTTGCACAAATAGTACATCAAAGACAGTATAGCCGTTATGCCAGTAGCCACACACTCTAAATAAATATACACACACCCTTTTCAGTTTGTGGACGATCAGTGTCTAAAATTGGCACACTGTCTTTGTCCAACACAATGAGACAGACACTACTATCCTAGAATTTCAAGTAGCCCGCAGGGGGCTGCTCTATTGCTGTCGACTTCGCTCAGCTTTTCATTCTTTCTCTTTCACTCTCCCTCACTCACTGACACTCCTCCTTTCAGTCTGCCTCTGAAGATATTTCTAACCCCGAGCCATATGCAAGCTTAAACCAGAAAACCAAATTAGGTTTGAAACTGAGTCCTGTGAATTAAATGAAGCGTTTGAAAAAAAAAAAAAAATGAATGGAGTATCACTTTCTTTACCATCGGACCAATAATTCGACACATAACGGTGCATGTTGAGAGCACAGAGAAGATCATTATGATGTCTTCATCATCATCTGCAAGTGACTCAATTATGAGAGAAGTACTGGTATGTCTTTGGATGGGCAGTACATGCTTTCTTTCTGTGCTTCACACACACAGAGCCACTGAGAACTGATCATAGACATCACTTAATCAAGACAGCGTTTCCTCATTACCATTTTTCTTACCGCCTGCATGCTCCACCCACTTTATCTCTTCAGCACGAAAACAACCCTCTCTGGGGAGTCTACATTTTTAAAGACTCAATTATTGGACAGTCACTTTTCAGCAGGTTTAAATCCTATATTTTTGAGATTGCAGATGATTACTCTGTTGATAATTGTACTATGTTTGATAATACAAGCATCTGATTATCCATTCATAAAATTCATGTTCATATTCAAAACATCTCTTACTGTGCAAGCAGTCTGAGCAGTTCAACAGCAGCAAAGCTGTGGGCAGCAGCCGTGTATTCTTCAAACTCAGTTTGTCAACATGTCTGCCAGTCAACAGCTGAAGAATACGATCAAGAGTTAAATGGCAGAGATGGCAAATAAAGCCTGTACCTACCATCCATTGTAATGAAGGGATTTGTGCTGGAGTTCAATCCGTGGTTGGTATAGTTACCAGTGGCAAGGTCACCATCAAAGTCCTCTGCCAGTGTTGATTTGCCGCCAGCTAAAAAGTCTACACCAGCACTGGTGTTGAGTTTAAAATCCGCTCCAAAGCCTGTATCTTTCGCCATGTCAGATTTGCTGCCAGTTTCCGTTTCATTGTTGTAGCCCATAAACAAAGCAGAGCTGGTGTCCATGCTGCTGAACCCCTTGGGACTGGGTGGCACCGGAAGCACAATGCCACCTATCTCCTTCTCCTCCTTAAAGCCCTCTACTGGGGCCTCTAGTGGTGACAGAGGGAAGCCAGTATTGCCATCCTTCAGTGGTAGGAATGGGGAGAGATATAGGGGTGGTTCAGGTTGGGCTTGACGCAGGTCAATTTGTGTGGTGCCCGCTGCCGAGAGGGTGGGTGGTGGGGTCGGGGACTGGTCTTCTGCAACAGTATGTGAGCGCTTCATGGAGTGTGGTGAGCGACGTTGACCACCCATGGGTGAAACCAGCTGGTCCAACCCTGCCCCATCTCCACCTGGGTATTTATCAGGAAGATCTAAACTGGTTGGAACAGACAAGTGGGAGCATTCAGACATTGCACGACGCATAGCCTTCCTCTGCTGCTGCGCTCGACCCATAAAACAGGGCTCCAACTCCTCCCCTTCCCCTTCTTCTAAATCATCTTCTTCTTCACTGTTGTCCCTTGAAGAGCCCTCGGATAATTGACGGGTGACAAGGGCTGCTCCAGCCATAACCTTGTCCTCCTTCTCAAAGTGGTTGTCATTGGCATCTCCAATAACGCAGTAGTTCGGGGCAACCTGGGGCATCGCAACCTTTGGGCTGCATTCAGCGAAACCGGAGTTTTTCCACGGTTCAGATGGAGAGTCTCCATCAACTGGAGAATCGTCCATCAGCGAGGCTCCCATAGAGTGTGGATGCACTGCACTAGTGGGTGAAGGGAGCTCCATATGCCTGGCTGGGGATCCAGGAACTGGTGGAAGGGAGACCCTGCTGGTGCCCCCACATCCCAGGCCAGAGAGTAGTCTGCCAGGGGAAGCTGGGGAGGGCGATGGGGAGGAAGACAGAGGGCTGTCTGGACTTTCTCCTGTGCTCCCCAGGGAAGCATTGCCAAGGGAGGTGCTTCCAGAGATGCCCCCAACCTTGCCTGGCGCCTTCAGCTCAACGTCCATGCTGCCCCTGCCCGGCTGCTCAAACAAGCACAGCTTGTCTTCATCCGTGAGTCCGGTGGATGCCAGAGCCCCAGGACCCACAACCAGACTCCTCGGGGTGCCCATGTCCATGCCTGAGGGATGCTGCCAATCCCAGCTCTGAGCCGGCACACCGGGTGACAGGGACGGCACCTTGCACAGCTCACTGTACTCTGCGAAAGGAGAGCCAGTCTGCTGATTGGAGAGAGAAGACATGCTGTCTCTCCTGTCTTTTCTCTCGCTCCCCCTTTCTTTGTTTCACAGTCCCTTTGTCTCAGTCTTTGTCTCAGGTAATCTCTACCACTTGTCTTCTTTTATCTGCCTCTTTTCTTTGTTGTTCTGCACTGTTGTGCCTTTTCTGAAGTCACTCAGGTGTGCTCTGCACCCGGATTGCTCGTGTGTGTAGTCTCTCGTGCTGTGCCTCTGCTGTGAACTCAATCACACACTGAGGTGGAACTCAATGTGCAGCTCTCTCCCTTATTCCCTCTCTCTCTCTCTCTCTCTCTCTCTCTCTCTCCCTGGTTCTCTCACTGTTGAGTACAGTCGTCATATGACCCAGTTGTGGCTGCCAATTGGCTGCTGCCTGATCCAAGATCCCACCCACAGTGGTGGAGTGAGTAAGCCCCCTCCCCTAAAGCTTTCTCTTTCAATCCACGTTTTTCTCCCCCCCCCCACCCAACCCCTTTTTTTCCCTTTCATTCTGTTTAATGATAAAAAAGCACAACGTGTACACACACACACAGTTCTGTCTTTCCCCAGGGGGCTGAGTGAAGGCTGAGGATAGATGTTACAGGGGGGGAAAGTGGTTTTGATTTCAAGACCTTGCAAACTATGACACTCTGAATCTCCAAACATCTGTTAACACATTTTGCATTGACCCGCACAAGAAGAAACACAATGAATGTATGGCTCACTATATCTACCTGTGACTACACTTTTTCACTTTGCTTTAGACAATGTCTCTGTACTGCCTTTCTGTGTGAATTGATGTTGAGCTTAATGTAAAATACAAAATATTCTTGGTTCAAAACTTAAGCTTGGTGGCAAGACTACTTTGTCTATAGGAGTGCTTGATCAAACAAGAACATACACCTTCCATCATATTCCCCTGTGAACACAAGTCAATGTGATAATGTTGTGCCTGTATTCTAACCCAGATTTTAACCCAGATGTATTGACCAATGCACAAATGTGAAGCTGGAAGGACAGGACAGGGCTGTGATATTTAGAGGTTTGTGTGTGTGTCTGGGAGACATCAGCAATCAGCAGCTACAACTGAAGCTGAAGAAGAAATTTGTAGTTCACAAATAGCCGATGAAAACATCTCCAAAATTTGGAAACAACAAGGTCCAAGAGTTAATGTTCCTAATAGCAGATGGCGAGTTCAACAACAATGACACAGGGACTGGTAAGGACTAGTTTTTTTTTAAAGACATGTCACTGCCTGATTCATGTGATATATACGTAACATCAAGCCTGACTTGCTGACATAGCAAGAAAGATAGCAGAAGAGGGAGAGAGCAGAGGAGAGGAAGCATGGCAGGCGATAGGGTCACACAGTAAATAACACACCACCAATGTAAATGTTTGGTGATAGAATTGTAAATTATTGCATGCAATACCACATCATGTATGTGTGCATGTTCACTTCTCCTATAGTGTTACCAGGCTAAACGCTCAGCATGAGGTGGAAGAAGAGAAAGAAGAAAGGGAGATGGTAAATGGTAGATGGATGATGTGTAAAGCATCTAGTAGAGACACCCCATTTCCTTTCATACTGAACCTTGTCCCAAGAGGAGAATCCCACTACATTACCTTCCTCACTTGTACACACACATAAACACAGAGAGGATCCAAAAAAAACATGCACTTGATCAACTATAAACCCAGATGTACACATAGAGAGTATTCTCCTTGGTAATCAGTCTGCCAGACAGACACACTGTAGAAAGATAGACATGCCTATTTATACATGAATACAGTCAAAAACAAACAGTTCAGGCCTGATCTCACACTGAGGCGAGCCTGTGAGCACTTAACAAGAACTCAGCTTGGCATCTTGCACAGAAACACTTTCACTTCCATTTCAGCCATTTCTGTCTTGCCAATTCCACCAAAGCTGTGATTTCCAAGAAGTTATGTGAAACTGGTAAAGATTTACTGGAACTGTGGTGATTTAACAAGCTGCAACATGGATTAATTGTGCCTGAACTTGTTCAAAAACTTCAGATAGTTAAGAGATTGACTGGTAAACGTATTTGCTGTAATTTAAAAATATATATATGGTAAGGAAACTACAGCTGATAGCCTCTCGCTTTGTACATTTTGCATGTTAAAAGAGCAAATTCTGCCTTCCATTACCTTCATTTTTTAGAGAAAACTGGGGCTTTTTGAACGAGGGCTTTATCACAGACAGTGAATGCATTTCTCTCTTCTTGTACTGGCTAATATCTTGTGATCTGATCCTCATGGCATGACAAATTCAACATAATAAACGTTTCCCCAGCAGCAACTTATAGCTGCAACCACATACAGTATGTCGATTCCATACTAATCATGTGGGCTCTAAATTGGAATTTGTTGCAGTAGTACGGTTCTGATCACAGTTGACTTGAATTATTTGAATTACTCTCCAACATCTGTTACTTCAATTGAACCCTTCTGCACAGGTGATTGAAATCATCATAAGAAACACGCACATTGTGTTAAATGTTTGCAAGTGCTGGATAACACAACAAGACCGTTACACTGCCTTCCCTGAGGTAAGTGGGAGGGTGCGATCATACCTTGACATTTAATTGAGCTGTGAAGATGTTACAAATCTGTAAATTGACTAAGTGGTCAGTTAGAAGTGATATTTTAATATGGTTTTATTTTACAATATATGCATGAAAAAAGAAACACATCAACATCGCATTAAAAAGCAAAGCCAGAGTGGGAGGGCAGGGGTTGTTTTCTGGGCTCAGACTTGTTTGCGTGTGTGTGTGTGTGTGTGTGTGTGTGTGTGTTATCCTCGCCAGAAAAAACTGCTGGCGGTAACAGTAGTTCTAGTGGATGTCGGTTTGGACTGAAGGCTAAACGTCTGCAGTACACAGTGATTTATAACAGACAGACAGGCAAACAGGGACAGAGCGAGGGATGGCGGGTCGGAAGGGTGACGAGGATACAGACAGATGAGGGCAGAGAGAGCGAGGCAGGGAAAAGAGATGAATGGACGACTTAGTGTGGGATTAGAGCTGACACTTGAACATCGTGGCAAAAAAAAAAAAGGAAAAGAAGGGAAGAAATTATCGGGGCAACTATATGACGACGGAGACAGAAACAAGGAAAATTAGTTAAATAAGAAAGAAGGCAAAGAAAGGAAATGCCAGACAGAATAAAGTTAAGGAGTGCCAACGGATGGAATATAGTGAAGACGAAAGACTAAACAAAGAAAAGTGATAACAAAATGGTAACAAAGGACGCAGGAAGTGAAGATTAACTGGAAAGTTTCGACTGAAAAGAGCTCAGTTAGATTTGGTGTGGGTTAATGTGAAGCATGTTCTCATTGCCCAGCCCCTCCTATAAGAACTCTTTGTTTAAATATAACAAGTGCCAACTCAGCATCAGTTTTGCATGTGTAGGTCTCCACAGTAAGCCAGCATTAATAAAAATGCATCATCAGATTAGATTTTCAAAATAAAGCAACACAGATAACAAAAATGAGAAACAAATTGAGATTAGGACGTGTAACAATAAAGGTCACTAAGGCTGTCAAAATGTTTGATACTTTGATACTGTTAATATTGTAGCAAGTAGCAAATGTAAAAAAAATAAATAAATACTGATCTTCAGACATATTTTAAACCCATGGCCACTTTCTAAGTTTTAAATGTGTTGCCAATGTATTTGTGCAATTTAGACAGGAGTGGGCAGGAGTTTGCTTTCATATTATGTAAATTAATAATCAGAAATTAACCATGGCCCAGGACCGCAGCCAAAAAGGACTTTCTGGCTTTTCATACAACCTCACCTGATTTCAACAGCATATTAGAAACAGAAAAGTATACAGGACAACTGCGTAAAAGATTTTAGACAAGTGACTACTGCGTCATGTTTTTGAAGCGTTAGGCCAATGACCTAGCGGTTGTACTTGACGAGTTGTTTAAATGCTGAAATTTGAGACAACACTGTTGGAAATATATACAAGATTTGCATGACGTATTTCATACAAATAGAGATAGAATGCCAAATTCTTAACATGTGAGTTGGCACTGTTTTAATCTCCTAAAAATCCAAACGCTCTGCTGTTGTTCAGGGTGCACACACTACAGCGAATGGTGGGTCTTCGCTTCAGGGTTTTGGCATTTCCATCATGGTGCATGCAGGATTGGTATTTTTGGTAACCCACCATGGGCTTGACTTCAAGGAAGTGTGAGGGGATGCTCAGCAGGGGGCGTGTCATGAACAATCAGGCAGCAGAGTGCAGTTCTTACTCTTTACAAGTGGGGCATAACAGTCGAGGTTTGGGCTATTTCTGTTCCTAGTCCTGTGTGATGCTTGTTTTACCAGGTATTGGGTAGATGATATTGTATACCACATGTATTTCTGAAGGAAAACAGCAGTATGTTAAATGTTTAGGTGGTATTATGGGCTAAATAACTTTTAATAAGAAAGACAGGTCCCTTTCTGTAAGAATAATGGTATTAAAACCACGGCATGTATAATATACACATGGTGGCTGTGTTAGAAAGTAAGATTCCTATAAAAACAGGATCAATTAGAATCTGGATGGTGGATTCTTTCTTCCTGTAGTAAAGCTTCTCCCATTACTCCTTACAGTGTCTGTTGTAATCGCCTTTTATTTATTGAAGCCCACCTGAAAAATCTTTTTCATAACTTAACTAGAGTAGCAGCAAAGATATACACATCATGTAGATTAATGGTTGTCACAACATGTACTTTTTATTTGACTTGGATATTTAAATCCATATATAATGACAGCTGTATTGTTTTGTCATGATGATGTTTGATATTTCCTGACAGCCTGTCCTAATATCAATGTAGTAACAACTGAAATAAAATCAGAGCCGCAGCCTTATTGTTTCTGAACAAAATGCACTGACCATCATTATCAAAGATGACACAGGAAGAAACAATTTGTCCCTTTGATTGGCTTTTTGTCTTACTGTTTCATGCTTTCTTTTCATCATGATAATGGGGATAAACTGGGTTAGAAAGCAGATTGCACAGGATCATGTTAATATGAACACTGTCATCATTTTCCCTTTTGGTTGACTACGTGTGATGAATACTCAAGGAAATCATGATGCCTTAAATCAAATGTTACAAGAATAGCCCATAAAAAACTGTAGCCTATTTCTCTGATTGGTTGACTGCCTATTCGACTGACACATTGGTCAAAGTGTTCACTGTAGAGTACAGCGAAAAAACACATTATTATTTCAGATAAATGTTTTTTAGAAAGTTAATAAGCTTAACAATAT